ACGAGCGGTTAGGCTTTCAGAGAGAAGAGGAGCCCGCTTCTTGGAAATGGCACGCTGGATTCACCCACTGCTGCGTCTCTTACCCCGCATGGCTGAGCCCTCTCAGAGGAAGTGGGGGGCTGCCGGCTGGTTGATTCTCAGGGCTAGGTGTTAGCTTTCTGCTCGGCTTTTTTGTCGGATGCTAATTAGTTCCGTTACTAGCGGGTGTCTCTGCCTTCATGGAAGCGGCATGTCTGTTGTGTGTTACTTTTAATTTGAAGTCAGTGGGGAGTGGAAACCTGTTTCTTTCGGTTTACTTTCTAGGTATATGTGCTTGATCTTGGTGTAGCAGACTGGATTTCTTAACAAAGTGCACTCTGAAACCAGATGTTGCACAAATGTATACCCACTTAAACAGATAATAACTATCAAGTATATAGTAACGCCGCTGATCATTTATTATGCAGACCAATTTGTATTTTCTTATCAACAATGGCTTTGCATTTACCATTTTTACAAAAAATGAAATGAAACAACAGTACAGTACTTAGTTAATCATATTCTGTACGCTTCAGAAGAGTGACATTTAGTTTCTGGGACTCATTGTAAAGTAGCTTGAAGCTACTTGTTTGCTTGACAGTGAAATGAATTAATGCTTACTTCAGCTTGTGGCAGAGAAAAGTTTTTCACTCTAGATCTGCATGAACTTGAAAAGACTTCTTTCTCAAAACACAGCTGATAGAAATGCACAGCTATACATTGATTAGTAGGCTAGAGAACCATTGTAATCAAAACAACTAATCAAAGTATATGTTTTGAAAACCTTATTTTTTCATTCTCTTTACCTTCTCCCCCTCCCCCCTATTAAGGACTCTTTCTGGTAGGTTCATGTCAGTGCTTCACCCATGCCTAACAAAGGGTAAAAAGAGCTTTCTTACCATAATGACTATTTTTCTTCTGCTTCCTTGATTTAAAAAATTACATAGTGTGGGTGTAATTCTGCGTTTGGCAGCTTAATTCTCTTGCCAGTTTCTTGTTCCTGTAGATTTGGAATAATGCTGTTGGATAGAGTCCTTTTGTAAACTTGACTTTCCAAAACATCTAAAAGAGATGATGTAGCTAGATGTAGACTTGGCTGAAGTCATTGCCTGAAAAATTTCTAATGGAGAAAATGTCTTCGTTGCCATCACTGAAAAATAGAATAAGTGTACTTTTGAAGTAAGTACATAATTCACAATAATAAGATAGGCTAATCCATATTTGTTCACCAATTTCATATTATGAAATAAGACAGATGGAACAATACAGTAGGTCCTGCAGAAGTTAAGTCTTATTTATCTGTCTTGGAAATTATTTCATTTATATGGGACATGATACAACCTCCTTCTTTTGGAAAAGATTGCTGTCAAATTTCAGCTATATAAAGCTATCTCAATTTGTACTTTTCAGTACAAATTTCAGCTATCTAAAGTTGTATTTTAATAATAGAACTTAAATATTGTGGTGTATTTTGTTAAAATAATGAGAATTTAATAGTGGAAGCTGTGCATCAAAATATTTGAATTGTTTGGTTGGTGATTTAGCCAAATGTGAATTAGCAAGATTTGACTGTATAAGCTGATACTAAGAAATTATACATTTATAAGCTCTTTATAAGTCTATTCAAGAGGGTGAGTAAACTCTGACTCAGTTTTGCCATACACATTTTATCTGTATTTGCATAAAATCATTTGGGCTGGATCATGACACAATATAAGCTGAGACAATAGTTGAGGTTTTGGTTTTTCCTGAGTTTTGTTTATTTTGTGGCTTGACCGTTTGGAATTTCACAAGACACATAACTAAGACTGACACTAGATTTTCACGGGTAAACACATGTTTGTGGCCAAGAAGTAATGCAGCACAATGAAAATGAGACAATGAGCTGGTATATCTAAAAAGAAAGAAAAAGCTAAGAATTAAATTTTACCAATATTCTCATAAAAGTGTTCTGAAATGTAAAAACATTAAGATGTTCTGGCTTTTCTTTTTGGACCATCTTGTGCAATGGACTGAACCCAAGTCATTAAACACTAACAAAATGTAATGGTCTTAAGTGTTTAATTTGCTTATACTTCATGAGGAATATTTACTCATGATCAATGAAAATGCCATGAAAATTTAGTTAGATACTCAGAGCAGCTAGAGATCATCATGTGATAGAGACTCATGCACAGCACAAGATGAGAGAGCGAAGGATTTTATTTAACTTTAACTGGTAAATGCTGAAGTATAGTCTCCAAAAGCTTTGCTTTTGAACTTTTCTTTCTGGCCCATTTGCTTAATGTACTTAGATTATAAAAGAGCATCAATTTGGTCTAGCACTGGCTGAACTGGAGGGCAGTGGAACAAGCTGGAAGTGCTCAAATTCAAATGTGAGGGCTGGATGTCTAACTCCCGTAAGTTTAACCTGGAACTCCAGACTTACCCTTTTTTCCCATTAAAAAAAAAAGTCAGTACAGATGTTAAGTATTCTACCACACTGAAGAATTCATGCTTGGATAAATGGAGACCTGGAGGACAGATCTTTATTGTCATCTCATGCATCTGTGGAGCTTTGACTTTAGTGAACGTATGTTTTTAAACGATCGCCTTTCAGACTTCAGCTAAAGTTTCATGAGTGTGCTAGAGCAGTGGCTAACAGGAGGCAGCTTGCTGGGGGTCATTAGCACTTTTTGGAACCCTGGAAGAAACCCTTCTTGGTGGCTAAGAAAGATCGTGGAGTGCAAAGTGATATTTGATAATCTGGAAGTTGGTATAAGTTTGAAAATACGTACAAGTATAAATGGTAGACATTTATTGTAAGGAGTATTAAACGATGATTTTAAACGTATGTATTTAAACGATAAATAAAAAGATTTCAGATTTCAGCTAAAGTTTCATGAGTGTGCTAGAGCAGTGGCTAACAGGAGGCAGCTTGCTGGGGGTCATTAGCACTTTTTGGAACCCTGGAAGAAACCCTTCTTGGTGGCTAAGAAAGATCGTGGAGTGCAAAGTGATATTTGATAATCTGGAAGTTGGTATAAGTTTGAAAATACGTACAAGTATAAATGGTAGACATTTATTGTAAGGAGTAAGTACAAAGCATGATACTGTAACATTGCACAATTGAGGCAACATTTGATAAGTAAAGTTGGCTGGAATGTATTGTATCTTTTAAAATCAAAATCCATCTTTTTAACATCAGAAAATTGTTTCTTAATTCTGTAAATTCATCTGTTCGCATCCACAATGCTGGAGTTCATTTCAGCTGCCCTGATTTAGGTGAAAGGAGTCCAGAGATGCAAATAAATGATTAGGGAGGCTGAAAATCAAGGGGCACCGAAAGATCTGATCTGATTCCAAAGTCAGACACAATGGATGTATACACAACAGTAATATCAGAAAAATAAGCTAGACACTCTTCTATTTAAATAAGTTAATTCCTCTAGGGTATTTAGCTTACTTGTGTTATAAACCTTTCTCTAATATTTTTGGTTGCATCTTGATGTTTCTTCCAGGTATTAAATATTTAGGACTTCATGCTGAAGGTCTCTGTTTATTCAAAGGCTCACCTTCTGTGCCTTGCAAGTTAGCAAAGCTGATTCCTGTAGACCATTCTGGTATGTTCTCTGGCTCTTTAGAAGTCTTTTAAAAGCACTTGAACTTGAAAGTTTTTCTGTGCATCACTTCTTGTCCACAGTTTTGGTCTCAGTGCTCGGTAATACTGGTTTACAGCCATGGCAATTCAGTACACGTTCTTTATAAAGATAGAAGGTGCAGGATTTCTGAGAATGCTTTTTCAGAAAAGTGAGCTAATTTCCATGGTTAAATGTGCTGAAGACTAGGTATTCTTTGAAAAATGTAAGGGCAGTCAGGTAGGTTAGCTAGTTCCAGCATCAGAGCTTCACCTTATCAAACACTAAATCTCTAGAGACTTGCAGTTTGTCAGGATGGGCTGCACAGCTTTAAGTTGCTGAAGTTAGCAGTTGTGGTGTTTCCATTAAGCTTTCAATCTTTTAACTGTAGGTGCAGAGATTTTGGTTTTCTGTCTTAAGCCTTCAGCAGATAAACTATAGTCCAAATAAGTGCTTCTGTACAATTTGCTGTTACTGTTCTAGCACAGTGTTGTGTGACAGATTTGACTGATTGCTGGTGGGTGATAGCTGAAAGTCTAACACTACACATAATTTGTCATGCTGGACACTTAGGCCTTTACAAATTTCATGATCTTTGTGTTGTAAAACCTATTCTATTGTCTATTTTTCAGAAGACATGTTTAAATAAATCTAAAACTGGGGTAATAGTCACTCATTTTATCAATAATTCTACTACTGGCAGTTATTTGCTGTGGCTTTCTATCTTCTGTCCTGTGGTGTGTGTGGAGGCGGGGAGAGACATTCAGATCATGTTGAAGACCCTAATTCCCTCAGATCTCTAACAATCCCAACATAAGAGGCTACATCTGGAATAATGGGTCCTGTTTTGGGTCCCTGAGTACCAGAGGCCTATCAGCAAACTGGAGAGAGTTCAGCAGAAGTCCATTCTGACAGGTAGAGACCATCGTGTATCAGAAACAGAGAACTGGATTCTTTGAACCTGAAGAAGAACGGACTAAGGTGAGGGAAGCTGATCACCTTTTTTAGCTGCCTAAAGATGGAGCCAGGCTCTTCGTAAGTGCCCAGAAAAAAAGAGAGATGGTAATAAATTGCAGCCAGAACAACTGTAGCTGGACATCAAAACCAGTGTTTTTATACAATAAAAGTGGTTACATTTTAGAACAGTTTGCTTAGAGAGGTTGAAAGTTTCCATTGATGGAAATTGCACAAAGCTTGTCTAGACAAGGCCTTTGCCAACCTGACCTAAGTTACAAGTTGGCCCTGCTTCAAACAGGGAGCTGGGCTGGAGACCTCCATAGGTACCTTCCAACCCAGGTCCTTCTGTATTAACTGCCTTTTAGCAGCTGTTGGTAAACATTTTGTGCTTCAATTTTTTTCTTCCAGTTTACAGTTGATTTCCTGAGTTTTGGATACTAGTGGAACATAGTGGGAGAGATGTTTTTAGGGTGCAGTTTTACAGTCATTAAAGCTAGTGCTGCTTTCTTGCTCTTTGATTCCTATGCCTGTCCCTGTACTGATTCTGATACTTGTCTAATACCTAAGTCAGCTGGTTTTCATGGTGCTAATCTTCCAGGAAATTAGATCAGCAGAAATTCCTCATAGGTTATTGATTTAGAAGAGGAGATTGAGAGCCAAGGGATGAAATTTTGTGGTGAAGAAGGTGAGAGCACAGACATGCTGGTTTATCAGCTTAAAACAGTTAATGGGGCTGCACTGCAAAAAGCTGACTTCAGAATTCATTAGTGTAGTTTCTAGTGCTTAATTCATAGTACTGTAATGGCTATACACAGATTTTCTTTTTGATTCTGCTGGGTCAGGCCACCCCTGGAAGATGTTACTGCCTCCAAGCAATTCTGTAACTCATCTCTATCCCTCTGCTCAAAGCCATGGCATCTTCTGATCTTCAGGTGATCCTTTTCTGACCTGTTTCATTCCAAATCTGCAGGCATAACTGAGACAGCTAAACCAGGTCACAAGGGCTGACATTGGTCTGAATGAATCAGGTGAACAGCTCTCATCCGGACACTTCAGCAGAAGGATGGTACCAGGCAGCATTTGGTGTTGTCATCCATGCAACAAATGTTTCTATGCAGTGTGTTACCTGTTGGATGGCTGCCTGGCTGGTGTAGACTGAAATTCACTTCTGTAATCCTAACATTATGCTTTTAAGTTACCTTGGTTCTTTTTTGAGTTTAGGGAGTTGAATTTATGTTTGTGCGAACACATAATATAACACGTTTGGTTCATTCTGTTTTGTCTTCTGCAAAATGTCCTTTGGATGATCTGTTTTATTCAGTGTTATGTTAAAGGAAACTGAACACTGGTCAGGCACTACCCATAATGTCTTGGCATTTCCTCATCGTGATTACAAATAATATATTACCTTTTATAAGTCTCAGTTAAAATTGTTCCTTCCATCTTATGCGGAAAGATAGAAGTAAATATTCCTTATTAGGCCACCTGATACGACAAGGTTGTGCATGCACAAACCCTTCTTCAAGCCTGAAGTAAAAGTGGAATAAATACCAGTTGAGAACAATTACTGAGAGTCTTAGGCCATCTCTGAAAGATAGTGGTTACTGTCTCTTGAGTGTAAAGTATATGGAGTGTGGGGGAGAGGGTGAAGTGGTTTAAATAATGTTTATGCAATTAAACTGTCAAGGCACAATCTTACTCCTTGGAATATCCTTCCAATTTATCTGCGTGATAGAATTCAGAAGTATTCTAAACTTACAGTTTAAAAGTATATTTGATTCAATCACAAAGACTGATTGCTAAAAGTATGTTGCAGGTATTCTAGATTTACCAGTCTTTGTCCCAGGAAGCAGGGTTATTTTGTGGTACAGTTTTATCACCTTTTGGTCTTTCTGAGTTTGTGCCATCTTACTTGGTGACTGTTTTCACACAGCAATATCTCTTGCCCACAAAACATTTTCAGTGATAACTGGTTTCTGCTCTTCTGTTTCTCCTCATGAAAATGTGCTAGATGTTGCACATACTTTCTCCAAGTTCTTCTACTTGGTGTTTGTGTGTCATCTTGCAAACTATAGTTTTTACAGATAGGATGGCTGTGTATGTTGCCTGCTAAAATAATTGTGACAGTGCACTGGGTGGTCAAAAACGTAATTCAGGATTACTGATTTTACTGTAAGAGTGGGATTCATCTTTAATTTTTCAAAGTCAGATATCCAATCTAAGCTATGAACTAGGCAGCTACAGAAGATAATTCATTCTCCTATCTTTCACATTTGTTGGATGAAATAAACCTCCATATGGGGAACTTTCTCTTCTCCTAATTGTTTACAGTGAAAATTTAGATAATAAACTTAGCTAGGTGCCAAACTTTTAGATGGTTGAAAATTCTGCCTGATTTAAATGCTCTTAATATCTCTTGGACAGACACTTAAAGCTATGGTTGTACTTATATTTTTGTTTCAGATGGACCCTACTAGAATTTCAAAAGAGCACGCACACTGTGTCAGAACACTTTTTGGACATCAAGAAAATACAGACTTGCATGATACATCCTTTGAAAATCAAGAAGCGAAGTTAATGCCAGAATCATGTAGAGGCATGAAACAGGCTCTCCAAAGAGCTGTGCAGAAGGTAAGTGGCAGACAGACTGTGTGTTCCTTCATTTTGTGCTCCTGTTGAACTTACAACAATTTTTCCAACATCTGTATTTGGAGGTAAGTTCTAGAAAGTACCTTCTGGTATTTCTAAATAATACCTGAAGTTGCATCCAAGATCATGTTGTGTTTCCTCATGAGCCTGGTAGTCGTTAACCAATTCTGTATTCAAACACATTTTTTCTTAAGACAGACAGATTTGAAGTTGCACTGAGAAAGTATGATTGCAGTTAGTTGGTTGGCCATTCTGACATTTGGATGGGCCTGAATGCTAGTCATTTATTCTAATATTTGTATAGTTTTGCCAACACTTTGGATGTTCGTAAGAAAGGACGGTTCCACTTTTTTTTTAAAAGCAATCTTCCTAACTCTTGTTTCTGACAAGGTTCTCCCACGTCAAGATCATCAATAAGCAAAATATTGCCTGAAAGACAGAGGAGATAACATTTGCTCTTGTTTTTACTCTTTCTTCAACCCAAAACAAGGAGTAGTATCTCCTTTTTTTTCCTGCTTACGTTGCTAGTTCTTTTTCTGTGCAGACCATTCTCACACTGGCGGAAGAGCTACTTTGCCATAGCATGATAACCGGGCAGTCTTGGCCCAGCAATTGAGAATGACAGTGACAGCTTGCTCCCAAACACAGATAACACAAGTAGTCAGCTAAAGAAGGCAGCCCTAATGAAGAAACCTCGGCAAGCCAGATATATGCCACAGTCATCTCTTACTGCACTTACTGCCTTTGATCACTCTGTGTGTTCATGACAATGTTTAGTGCTAATTATGGGCTGTTTAAAAGCTGAATATTTGCTATGCTATTTGGTTTTCCTGGCTTACCAGGTCCGTTACTACTTCTTCACATCTGCATAAGACTTTAGTTTTTCATAAAAGAGACTCCATTAGATTTGAGCTGATCTCATGTGCACTTTACAAAGTGAATTGTACTTGAGTTAGTTATATGGTATTTTAATTCTCCTAAAGTTTGCTTTTAACGGAGTACTCTGGGTGACATCTTTTTGTGAACAGAACTTAAAGGAACGTAGGAGTTCATGGCTTGTCCCATTTGCTAGCCACCTCCTTGAAAAGCTTAAGAAAAAAAAAAAAGGTTAACTGTAGGATTAGTTTTATCTTCCAGCATTTTACAGACAGTCTCACACTACACCTACTTCTGTGTTCTGTGTGCTGGTACTAGACTGCTGGTTCATGCAGCTCCCATGACAGAGTAAGGAGCTTGTTACAGTAAGTGAATGGGAAGGCCTGTATTCTGGTCATTCACTGCTGATTACTCACCAAAGGCATTGGCTTTAGTTGAGGCTGCATATCCTGCCATTCTGGATGGAGGTTAAATGCTGCAATGTCCGTGGCCAAGATAAGTAGTGAGTAGGGATAACTTCTTTGGCTGATGACCATTAGTTTGAGAACAATAAAATTTTCCTTGCCAAAGTAATCAGACTCTGAATTTTCTTTGAATGTAACAGAATGTATTAAGCAGCTGGGTCAGTATTCTGGATGCTTTGTCATTGTATATTGATGACACAGAGCAAAATAGGAAAATGTTTGCCTGGGGCTACATTTGCATCTTTTTGGTATATCAGAGAAGTGAAAGAAACAGTGTTAAGGCAAAATCATACTTTATCATGCTCTGTAAGCTCTGCCTTTCATTAGCTCTGCTACAATGAAGGGCAGAGATACAGATTCACCTCACTTTCAGTTGTGCTAGTCCTTTATGTGTGGCAATGCAGCTAATGTGACTTGAAAGAAGTTTCCTATTGTCTGTGCTTTCTTCACTTTCCTGAAGGAGAATCTAATCTGTGTGTGTTTTAAGAACCAATATCCTTATTTGAATTGGCAGCATGTTAAATGATATTTTAAAGTGTTCCATTTAAGTCACTAAGTTTGTGATTTTTCAATATTTTGTCTTTCACAATTCAAGCTGTTCAGGAAACGAAAATAGACAACTTGCTTTTGCTCAGGTTTATGGTCTGGTTACAGCTTTTAGCTTACTGCACTGGTTCTCGTCTGTTTTCTTTGCACACCTGTAGACCTAGTGCTTAAATCTAAAGCTGGAATTGACATTGAAAATGAAAGTGCTCTTATGAAAACCAGTGTAGCAGGGCTGCAAGGTCAGGTCTAGAAACATTTGTCTCCTGAAAAAATAATAATTAAAGATTTTCTTTTAATCAAAACCAAATGGTGAATTTCTTAACATATTCCAGGATGAAAATACTGCTTGGGCAACAGCTTACTCAGTAAAAAGCACATTTTCAGCATTGCACATAAACTTTCAAGTAGACAAATAATATACTTTCCTACCCTGTCTGTTTGCTTAATTTTTTTTGCTTGTAACCCTAAAAACCTTTTGGCAGTCCAGGTGCACTAACCACAGTTCTTATGAAGACTGTTATGAGCCTGAAGTAGAAAGGACTGCAAACATATCTTGAGTCAATTCCTAAGTAACTTTTCCTGGCAATACTCCCAGCTTCTAGCAGCTTGGGGAGTTTGGGCGTAAACTAGTCTCCTATATGGCAACAGAGTACTCTGCTAGACCTCCAGGGCAGCACTTCTAAAGAGATCTGTATACTTAGCAGACATTTAAAGTACACATAGTTATGGAGGAAAGTCAAAGTTTCACAAGTAATTGCTGTAAGTTGTTAAAATTTCAGTTTCCATCCTACAACCTTACGTGCCTTTGTTTTTTCTGCAGACAATAGACTACTCATTTGGATAGAGGTTGATCTCTAAACTATCTTCTGATGAATATTGGTTCATGTACTTTCTATTTCACTTCCTTCCTGATTAGCAAGATAATCAGATGCTTCTTCCTGCTATTAGCTGGACTTAAAGGACTCAGGTAGTAGAAGAAACACCTGCATAAAGGAGGTGTAAGATCACAGCTGAAGCAATATATGAATGTCCAGAGGGGTTCTCTTCTGATTGGCCTCAAAAGGCTACCTATAGCTGCTCAAAGGAGATACTGAGATATTGTAAAAGCCAAAGGAGAGGAAAGCTTGTTCACAAACGTCACATGTTTGAATGCAGCCTTGTCTCTGCATCCTCAACATCGGATGTAACTTAGAGGAAGAGTTGTTTTTGTTTTGAAGATGCTGAGATGCTAAGGGTTAAAACCTGCAGCCTGCTGTGGATGAGGAAAGAGCAATTCCCAATTTTCCAGGCACTTAAAGCATGATTTTAGCTTTTAAAATATGAAAGTTTTGCAGCTTCCCAATGAACTTTTCAATTTTTTTGGATGAAGGAAGACACATTTTTTATTTTTGTGACTGGCTGCTTGTCTGTTGTTTAAACAGTGACTGTATGAAGCAGGTTGGAATGTGGGAAACAGGCCAGCAGAGTTGACTTGGTGGGCAGTGAGCAAATGACGCAAAGATATACAAGTACAGCTTATCGTAAGACTAACAGAGTGGGGTGATTTTTGTGTACAGTTTTTCAAAAAATAACTCGACAGCTTGGTAGATCCCATGGCTCTGTGTGTGGCAGTCTTAAGTCACTGGTAATATTTTGTCAGCAGTTCTCATGCCATTGTAGCAGTGTCTTAGTGACAGGTTCTGTTGAGCTGTTTCTGCTTTCTTAATGGTAGTGTACATTGTGATTAGGTATGAGGTGCTTAAAGACATTCAGGTGATAAAGAATGCAGTTGATACTTAAGAGATTTTTGAAAATCCTAGCTCTTAATTCCCTGCAGTAAGGATACCAGGGGATTTTTATAATCTCACTGAGAGGCCATCTTTAGACATCTGTATATCTTCAGACATCCACTGAAAAATGAGGTCCTTGAGTCCTTCAGGGTCAGAAGCAAGTACATGCTAAAATGTTTTTCTAAGGTAGTTTGTGTATCAACCCCTTGGAACTGTAGAAACATGAAGTAAAATATCAAGTAAAGTGTTGAACTGCTTACTCTTCTGGAGGAAACCCACAGCTCCATCCCTGTAATCTAGGGACTAGTTAACGTATTTCAGCTTCCTTTTGGAACCCTGGACAACAGAACAGAAAGGAATATCAAAATTTTGTGGGGCTGGTCAGAATCAAGTGAAAAACTTGACTCTAGTCCAGTGTTCAGAGAGCTCTTTTGACAGAGGATTTGTTTTCTGGCCACAGGCTAGCCACTTCTAATCCAATGACAAGCACACAGAAGAGTCAATGAACATGAGCCAGTCTCCAGCTCTTTTCAGTGTGTTAGTGTTGGGCTCATGCTTATAATCTCCCTTTGGTTGTAATGACACTTGCATTCTTAATTGCATAGTAGCATAGCTTCACGAGGAGTACAGGAGAGTGTTCCTGTCAGAGAGAGATGCTCCTAGGAAACAGGAAAGTAGGCTCAGACCATCAGGACAAGGAGAGCTGTGGACCCGAGTCTTCCTGAGTAGTTGTTCTCCTTACCAAGTGGTGAGGTTGCAGATGAACAGCACCACCAACAGTTAGAAAGCAAGCAGCTCAGACTGCGTTTGGATTCTTCGGATTCCTTTCGGCATGGAAGATGAGCTGAGTCAGGCTGCTAGATCTCAGAAGGTGAGGTATCCAGCTGCTCAAGCTAGAACACCATTGGAAATGTGCAGAAGCAGAACTCTGTACTCCTAAGAAGAATGTAGGTTAAGAGGAGGATAGCAACTGGCCAGTTCAGGGGCTTCAAGGGCTGTGCAGTTACCAGCCACGGGATTTTTCTTAGTACCAGTTTAGATAATAGGAGATTAAAATGTATATAGCTCTTTTTGGATCTGCCCAGCAGGCTCTCCAGGCAAGGACATTATCACATCCCCCAGAAAGAAGGGATATGAAAGCAGACTCCACATCTGAGAAGTTTCCACTAAGAAAGCAAAAAAACAAAGGAGTCTTCCCTTTCTAGGGGAAGGGTTGGGAGTAGGTGTGGTGGAGTAATCTCTGAGAGTGTTGTCCATCTCCCAGTCTCTTTTACCTTAAATCCTGTTCTCTTCAGAGGCTTTTGCCACTTTTTGCAGTATCTAGTACTTGCAATTTTTTGTTGTCTTCCTACTTCTGATGAAGTTAAAGAGCTCAAGTGTGGCTAGAGGCTGATGCCAGTGTGCATCTCCTAGAATTAAGCTTCATTTTCATGCTCCTAGAACTGACACTGAAGTAGGAAGATAAGAGAGGGGAAGTGAATATAAATGGGGGAGGTGGACATGAGTTTTGCTTCTTTTGAAGTTGTGATTCCTCTTCTCGTCTTTACAGCAGAAAGCATCTTAATGTTTCTTATCTACAAAATCAGCATCTCTCTGCTGAAGTATTATGCTTTGATAGTCATCCTACAACTTCCATACTGCTGTGGCTTTTCATTTTGGTTTAACATTTAAACACATACTGAAAGGGGAAAGTGAGAGTAATAAATGTACCAACTAAGGTGTTACAAATTTCACTGTGGCTGCAAAATTACATAAAAGCAGGACTCAAGATGTTTTCAAAGCAGGATTTCAACTTCTAAAACACTGAAGTGATTGAGAGCAAAGTGGAACATTGCTGATCTGGCCAAATCTGAGGCATATTGCATATACATGGAATTAAATCAGATGAACAGGAGTGTGTGTGACATAAAAACAAAACAAAGGACCACTCAGGTTTCAAAGATGATATGATTTGCTATATTCAGCAAAATGTTTCCTTTTACTAAACATCTTCTTGACAGCTCCATGTTATGAGGTATTCTGAATAGCAAGTAGAATATTAACCCAGTTTTTTAGGAAGCAGAGATGGAGAATCATGGGGGAGCAGGGGACAGAACTGAGGATTGAACCTAACATTAGAATCATAGAATAGTTTGCGTTGGAAGGGACTTTTAAGATCACCTAGTCTAACAGCCCTGCAATGAGCAGGGACATCTTCAACTCGATCACGTTGCTCAGAGCCCTATTCATCCTCACCTTGAATGTTCCCAGGGATCTATGGGGCATTTGTTACCTCTCTTGGGCAACCTGGGCCAGGGTTTCACCACCCTCATTGTGAAAAATTTCTTCCTTATATCTAGTCTAAATCTATCTTCTTTTAGTTTAAAATCATTACCCCTTGTCCTGTCATTACAGGCCCTGGTAAAAAGCCTGTCCCCATCTTTCTTATAAGCCCCCTTTAAGAACTGAAAGGCTGCAATAAGGTTTCCCCAGGAGCCTTCTCTTCTCCAGGCTCAACAACCCCAAGTGTCTCAGCCTTTCCTCATAGAGAAGAGGTGTTGAATCCCACTGATGATTTTTGTGGCCCTCCTCTGGACCTGCTCCAACAGGTCCATGTCTTTCCTGTGCTGAGAGCTCCAGAGCTGGACGCAGGACTCCAGGTGGGGTCTCACCAGAGCAGAGTAGAGGTGCACAATCCCCTCCCTCAACCTGCTGGCCATGTTTCTTTGGATGCAGCCCAGGATACAGTTGGCCTTCTGGGCTGTGAGCACACACTGCTGGCTCACGTCCAGCTTTTCATCCACCAGTACCCCCAAGTCCTTCTCGCCAGGGCTGCTTTCAATCCCTTCATCCCCCAGCCTGTATTCATACCAGGGGTTGCCTTGACCCAGGGGCAGGACCCTGCACTTGGCCTTGTGGAACCTCATGAGATTCACACAGGCCCATTCCTCCAGCTTGTCCGGGTCCTTCTGGATGGCATCCCATCCCTCAGGTGTGTCAACTGCACCACTCAGCTTGGTGTCATTTGCAAACTTGCTGAGGATGCACTTGATCCCACTGTCTGTCATTGATGATGTATTAATATTTCCAAGACTCAGTCAAGGCTTATAATAAGAACAGGCTGCTTAGTTTTTTGAAAACTGCTGTTTGTATGTTTTCTCAAGAAGAAAACAGGTGTGGATTATTAAAAGCAAGGCTTTTTGTGGTGCTTGATGTCTGTTACTTGTGCTGTTCTTGATTCTGCGTAACATGAATTTTAATACGAATGAAACCCATCTGCAGTTTTGAAGAATGCATACTTCCAAACTCTGGCACCCAGTCCATTTGGCCCAGTACAGATGTGGAAGATGCTTAGTCCTTCAGTTCCTGCATACCTTGTTAGAAGTGAGCCTTAAGTATAAAGCCTTGTAGTCTTGCAACCTTCCCTGTTAGTGGTCAAGTGAGAGGGGTGGAGGTTTTCATTTACCTCATCATCTACCTCATCACAAATGAAATTCAGAACTTAGTTTTCCTTAGTTGCTAGTGTCATTACACACTAGTCCCTATGTAGAACTGCCTCTTTCGTTACCTTTTGACCCCAAGTGATTAAACCCATTCATAAACTCCTTTGTTGTATGTGATGCATTCTTAGCAGTTATTGTTCCATTATACTTACAGAAATATTCCAAGTGCAATAAGTAGGAAAGGTTGTAAATGTCCAGTCACTACTACTTCAGTAAATAGTGCAGTGATCATACACACCATCATTCCTGTCCGCCTTTATCAGATGTATTGGACAGAGGGAGTAATTTGATGGTGGCAGCTAAACTGTGTGTTCATATTATACATCATATAAATATGAGAATATATATGCCAGGCATCTGAACATACTGTAAATAGAACAACACCCACATATGCATACACTCAAGAGTGTTGTAATTGTGCAAACTAACTGCAACATACAACATTACAGAACCAAGACAACATCAAAGCAATGTCTCTTTCTCATTTTAGGAAGTCCAGCGTGTCATGGGAAGAGTGCCGCAAAGACCAGAAAAAGGTAGGTGTTGGCTTGTGAATAAGAAGTATTTTAGTTTTACTAAACTTGTCTTTCTGACTTAATGCAATTTTTTTTTGTATCTCTAGCTGCAATGGAGGCATTAGGAATGGATCTGTACAAGAGAAACAAACCTGAGAAGCAGCCTTTTGCCCATCTCATTATTGATGATAAGAATATTCCATCTGGTAAGTTCAGTTTTAAGTGAATACTTCCAATGTATACTACTACTGTAAATGTATTAGAGTGAAGTATATGAAAACAGTCCAGCAATACCAGCAACAGACAGGGATTTCAGAAATGGCTGTTGATAATGAGAATGAATTTGTTGTGTTGTTTTTCTGGTCAGTGTGTTGACTTGGATGCAGTATGTTTCTGAGCGACTGAGTAGGGGGAAAAAAAATGTTTCTGTTGCTTTTATCTGCCCCTGTGGTAAGAGGATGGCATTCTTTTACCTTGCTAGAGCTCTTATTCCCCACGCACCAGGTATCTTTGGATGGCTTTGGGAATATCCTCGCTAGTACAATATGAGGGAACAAGACATGAGTCTGCCTTGGAACACTCTAGAGGAAAAGATTAATTCCTACAGTTTTAAGATAACTTAGTGCTGTTTCCTTTTTTGCCCTGGGGCGCTGTCAGTTGAGATTTTTCTCTCTGTATTCTCAACAAAACAATCATCATTGGTGTGGTAAAGTCAACCAGTTTATTCTGAAGCTATCAGACAGAGCATCTCAAAATAGGATCGGGCATTGATCACCACTGTTGTCTTCCTCTGAAGAGGTGTATGTTCTGCAGTCCTGAACTCCTTGTTAATTAAGCTATGTGCATTGCTTTTCTGTTTTCATATAGCCAAAGCAAAGGAGAATTCTGTGTTGAGGCTTGAAATCTGTGATTGCAGCAGCCTGCATAATAATACCTTGCCCTGTTGAAAGACAAAGCACTCCTGTACACAAGGGGTTAGCTTCTTGCCTGAAGGGATAGGATTCTTTCTCCCTTCAAGTGCATTGGCATTGCCAAGATGCAGAGCTTTTATAAGCAGAGAGCTTAAGGAGCTTGTGAGATGGCAGTCAGAACTTCTACAAGCTTTCTTATTAGCTCAAATGCCTCCTGACAAGCTTCTATTTCAGTCAGATTATGGCTTTTGAAATAAGTCAGCAGTAGAAGATGCAGTATCAGTAAACTTGTCTTAGCATTTAGTCTTTGGAAGGATTCAATTAATTTGCTAATCATAAAGACAGATCACTTAAATCTACAGAAGTGGAGTGTGTCAGTGTCAGGCTTTGTGAAATCCACCTTTTCCTGTGGGGATTTTATTTGCTGACTACCTAGATGTTGCTGTAAACTGTATTTTTATCAGGGCTAGAAGCCTATAATTTTTACTGCTGTGCATCACTGCATTAACCTTCCAGGGAGTGATGTAGCAGAATGGCAAGGGAGGCATTGCTCTTTCTTGCTCTCTTCACTTTTTTTTTTAATAGCACAGGCTGCGGGAACTCTCAGAAATACAGTGCCTGTGACAACAAGCTGCTTTGTTTCTCCTTGGAGCAGATCAGCGCCTTACCAATGTGATTAGTTGGACATACTCCTTCCTGATCTGGCACATAATGGCTTCTGCCTCTTTTTGGAAGAGCATTGCTAGGATGTTAATCATGAGCACAGTTTCTGTGGTCCTTGTGGGTGTTGCAGCAGTGAGGGACTGCATCCTTACGGATAGCTGGAACCCTGAACCTACGGGTTGTGAGGCACTTTATCATGCTTACTGGTATGAGGCAGAACCCACTTGGCTGGGTAGCATAGAGGTTAATGACAGGCATGAAGGATGAAGAGTTTGCCTGAGGGTCAACCAGGCAAAAAACCCAGGAGTTTTTCTCTCCCATCCTGTTTCCTCTGACTGCAAATGGCAATTTCTGTTTTCTTCCTGTGATTCCTTACCCTATGTGTCTGAAATCCTTCTAAACTGTTTTGTGCCATCCATGAGTCTGGACAGATCTTTTCTTAGTATTTTAAGGTTCTCTACTGTCATCACTCTGACCCCAAATAAACAATGTCAGGAAAAAAAAATCGGGTTTCATCACTGTCAAACAGGATTTTATTTTAAGTAGTTTGCCACTGAACACCCTTCATGAAGGGGCACTGAGCAGTGTCTCTGAGGAACATTTTCCTTTTACCTGTTTCACAATAATATCAAGCCCCAAATGGACTTTTGCAGCTGAGGGGAGTGTGAGGGAGGGGGAAAATAACCCTTCCCAGATCTGGGTGTCCCCACCCATCATTTGGCTGCAGAAACCGTAGTGGTTTGGCTTGCTGTGTATATTTTTTAGGTTTGCTGCCTTAGGTTAAAGCTGGATGCTTGCTGGTTGCTTTTTACCAGAGCTCACTATAAATGCTACCTAGGTTTTAAATGAAAACAGTGAATTTTGGTTTATACATTGATTACAGAAATTAGTCACAGTTTAAAGGAGAAAATCACAAACAGAAAAAAATGCAAATGTTAAATATATTGTTTGGGATATGAATTGATACCTTTAGCTGCCTAAGGAAATGTTGTAGTATTCTGAGCTGTTTACAACTACAGGTTTGGCTTAGCTGCCCTTTGCCTCCAAAACAGTTTTTTCAGAGCAAACAGTACCTTGGTCCTTCCCTCAGGCTTTATTTATACCTGAAAGCTACTTGGATGCAAACATACTCTCAATACCCGGCTACTTTCTCTTCTGTTACCCTCCCATCATCTTCCTTCTTAGTAATTAGTTTTATTGAAACTCATTTCTGTTAGTCTTAGTTCTTGCTCACAAATGTCCAAGACATTGTTTTGATTTGTCTTCAGTTACCAGGAAAAAAAAAGTGTATTATCTTGACTTTTTAAAAAATGCTTTTTACCATGTCTGGAAGGTTATCTTACTCACTATCTCTGACCTCTTCCTTCTCTGTCAACATGACTTACCTTGTACTTTTTTTTTTCATGGCTCCATAGTAAATTTTATCACAGAAGATAATGTATTGCAGCATTTCTGACTGTCCCATGGCTTGCGTCATGTTTCAGTTTCTGATATATGAACAAATGGTTGGGCAGTTTTATGCTCCAGTTTTCTCCTCTGCCTGTGTTTTGGGGTACTGATTGTTTTGGTGTCTCCAGATTTGTGTGTATTACCACCAGAAGTGCTGAGAGCTAGCTGAGTGCTAGCTCCTTCCATTAAAGGTTGCATGGCATACCTTCTACCAATGCATCTTTATGCTGTGCTGCTGGTTGTGGCAGGCCTCTTCTGAAGCTCTGAATTGTGGCAAAATGCCCATCCGCCTCAGTTAATATAATCATAGCTTTATGATTTAGGTTGGAAGGGAATTCCAGAAGCTATGTAGGCTAATCCCCTGCTCAAAACAGATAGGTTCATCTTCCATCATCTCTTGGCCTGTCCCTCTACCTGACCATGGATGAATGATGCATATTCCCCTCAACATCAAAACAGTGTGAACAAACTTCACCCAGAGCCTCTCTCAGCATCTCACAAGCAACTGTGGCACCTGTTTTCTCTTCCCCCTTCTTCAGCAGAGAAGCATATATTCCCAGTAAGGATTTCTTCAAAATTGCTAGTTGATTAAGACTGGCAACTAAAAAGTTTACTTGCCAGGTAAATAAAATCTGCCTAGCAACTACCCAGTGTGCCACCAGTCAGTCACAGCATGCCAGCATGCCTTCTGCCCTGTCCCCTGGATACATTCCTGTCCCAAACCTCTGATGTTCCATCCAAGCGGTGATTTCTTGCCTATCCTCCTAATGTTGAAGGTAGCCCAGCCTCCTTGGGGCAATATTTTGGCCAGACTTAACACTGTGCACAAGAAGTTCTACAACATCCTCAGCTATCCCCAGTGCTTCAGACATGTACTCTGGTATCTCTATCTCAGAATCTCTTGCAGGTGAGTAATTCCAGACTAAGAGACTTAAGAACTTAGTTTTGCTTCCGCTTAATTGATGGTTTTCAGAAGTTTTTTTGAGGCATTGCAGAGAAGACACATCTCTCTATGATTTTGTTTGTATAATTTCTACCTGGCTGTATTGGAGCCATAGGGAGCAACTATTTATGATCTGCCTTTGAAAGCCTGGGCTTTGCTCGAGTCTTTGTGGAAGAACGCCAGAAGCTTTTTGTTCTGGATTACTGTTAAAGTATTCCTCTCACATGCAGAAGTTGCTTGCCCTTGGCAGTTAGGGAAGACTCATAGCTCTCAGTTCCCCTGTCCCTGCATGTCTTTCTGCAAAAACAAATCCAGGAGGCATCTTTTTAACTAGTCAAATATACCTCGGACTTTTCCTCAGCATGCTTGTGAGCACTGGTGGTTCTGGGTCATGCCTCGATACATGCTTGGAGGAGAGGGCACTGGGCCCTGCCATATGGCATGGAAATTTTGGTGGGAATAGATTGTTTTGGTTTGATGTTGGGAAAATAAGGTACTGAGTATTCCAAGCAGGCATTTACATGCACTGGGAGCCTAAGGTGTAAGGTCTTCTGATGCCTGTGTGGACCCGCTGCTGTGGGTGCCTGAGAGGGAGCAAATGGAGTTAGTTTTGTGTGCTGAAAATTGCTAGTGGTTAGGAGGACAAGTTGGCCAACTCATCCATTGTGTTATGTCCTGTGTATTACACTGTATAAATTGTAGAGTGTTAGTGGCTTGTGCATATCAGGAAGGGTCAGGGCCTGCGTGGCTTTCTCAGGACAGTGGTGTTTCCTCTGTGTGGGCATGCCCATGGGCCTTGGCTGGATCTTCTTCCACTGTTGCCTATGCCTCTGTTTTTGCAGGCAGAGGCTGTGAGATGAGGTGAGTGCTATAATGGGATGGTGTGAAGCTGGAGAGGTCGCAGTGACTGTGGGATATGTGCGGCAGGGCCTCCTCCTCAACAGAAAATACTGTGATAAACCTCTACATAATACACATGCTGCAGTAGCAGTGCTGTCTGGGCTGGTGTTGCAGGCTGCTGCTTAACACAGTGCCACCAAAACCAAACTGAAGTGTCAAATGTGACCAGGTTTGGAAGGAAGACTCACGTACTGTCTCTCAGTGCCTATCTGACCTCCTGCCAGGCAATCTCTTAGCATAACCTCAACAGTAAAATCATAGAATATCTTGAGTTGGAAAGGACCTGTAAGGATCATTGAGTCCAACTCCCTGCTCTTCGCAGGACTGCCTAAAACTAAACCATATGACTGAGAGTGTTGTCCAGATACTCCTTGAACCCTGACAGTCTTGGTGCCGTGACGGCTTCCCTGGGGAGCCTGTTCCAGTGACTGACCACCCTCTCAATGAAGAACCTTTTCATAATGTCCAAAGAACCTTTTCCTAATGTCCAGGATCTACATGAAAAAACATCTGAGATTTGGCCAACTTGAAACCTCAAAGAGATGATACAGTGTGGGTAGGTGGTGTTAGCACCCAGGAGGTGCCTTTTGGGCCAGAGTTCCTGGGGGGACATTTGTACCTCTATAGGTGAAGTTGGCTTTCAGTGACAGTGCTGAGCTGACAAACTAATCAAAACATCTCTAGTTTCTCAGCTCCTTTTCATTCTGTTCACAGAGCATTCAATCACCTGAACAGATAAGGGACAGCTTCCTGTTTACCAGGCCACCATCGTGCAGGCAGAGCTGGAAAAGCTTACCTGTACCTGTTAGAAGGAATTTTTTTCCCCCCATTTTTTTGGTGTTCTCAGATGAAGGTGTGTTTGCCTTTGCACCACTACAGTCACAAGAACATAAAATATGTGCACTAAAGATGCACAATTGCACTGATTTTTTTCCCCATTTTTTTTGGTGTTCACAAATGAAGATATGTTTGTCTTTGCACCACTACAGTCGCAAGGACATAAAATATAGGACGATTTCATAAGCTTTCTCTTTGGGGAATAACTTGGTTTTGGATTTTATTTAGTTATTCCTTGCGAACACTTACAGGTTAAAGGCTGATAACAAGATTTGCTGTTTTGTCATTAGTAACTTTTCCTTTCAAATTCCTCTCAAGTATTTGTTACTTGAATAGAGTTTTAGGTGGAACACAATTTCTATATGGAGCTTGTTGCATGATTGCTCAGCATAAACTATTGGACAAGTAAATGTTTTGGACCATGGTCCAGCAGCTGTTCTGGTGGGAGGGCAGACAGTTATAAATAGCAAGCCAAATATGGCAGTACACACATGATGAAAAAAGGAAATTTCTTATGAATTTTTATCATAATTGTCTAATACTCACTTTAGCCTATGGAAGCGTAGTTGCTATTGATTCTAAAAACCCATGGATTGCTTTCTAAATGTTGAGTTTTGTTACATGTTTATAAATAATGATTTTTTTTTTTCTCCCCTCTCTTCAGGAACTCGCAAAGTGAACCTCACATCCTGGCATCATGACAAAGGCCAGGCAAACTTATCAAATATGACATTCAACGATGGAAAGCTAATTGTTAATCAAGATGGATTTTACTACCTTTATGCCAACATTTGCTTTAGACATCATGAAACTTCAGGAAACCTGACTAAAAGAGGGCTTCAGCTGATGGTGTATATGACTAAGACAAACCTTAAAATAAGGCGCTCTGATGTGTTGATGAAGGGAGGAAGCACCAAATACTGGTCAGGGAATTCCGAATTTCATTTTTATTCTGTCAATGTAGGAGGGTTTTTTAAATTAAAATCTGGTGAAATGATAAGTATCCAGGTATCAAACCCATTGCTACTGGATTCATCACAAGAAGCAACTTATTTTGGGGCGTTTAAAGTAAGGGATTTAGACTGAATATTTCTTTGGCATGTTGAAAATTGTTTGGGTTTTTAATGGTCCAGAAACAACTTGAAGACAGAACTGAAAATCTTTTGCAACCCGATTGCATCTGTATAAGCCATATATCTCTAAAGACACATTTTTGCCCTCTGCTGATTCCTGTGGGAGTCCCACAAATGCACAGAAGGGCAAAATTACATAGTTCTCCTGATTCAGTCTTACAGCAGTTTTACTTCATATGTCTCCACTGGCTTCAGTAGAGTCATTATGACTTTCATGTTGGTGTAGTTGAAATCAGAGCAATTAGTATTATTGAACTTCTGTTTCCAAGTTCTGCCCTGACTTTTTAACCTGTGCTACTCTTACTAGTTTTGGCGCAAACATAGGGCAGGACAGAGCTTGGCTCCCAGCTTGCATTTAGGGCTCAGTTTTGCTTGGGGTTGAGCGTTCTGACTCTGAGATGGCACAGATTGTGAAAGAATGACTAGTCCCATTTGATGTGGCGTTTCACGTGCTTAGTTAAGCCTGTTTTTGCTTTGCTGGATTAGTGTTGGAGAACTCAAGCCGTGGCAGAAATGAGTTGCAGAATGTCTAATTGGTTTGATTTAAGTCTTTACCTGATTAAAAGTGCTATTCCAGGAAGAAGGGAGATCATCTGGCCTTGGAGTTCTAAAAGGTTAATTACAGGTAATTTTTATTATTGTTGCACAGTTAATTGCAAATACAGACTGCCAAAATACAATGTGCCTTTAAAGTATTACATTGTGCCAGAACCTGCAAAGACATTTTTTAGACAAAAAGTATGTATTTTTATATTCTGTAATATCTAAAGTTATATTTCAGGTGTAATGTTTTGTGTAAAAAAAAAATGTAAATTATATTGTCCTATAGTATTTGATACAAAATATTTAAAATCTCTTGCTGTTTGTATATTTAATGTTTTAAACTGTTTTTAATGTACAGACATGTTAAACTGGTGCACTTTTTAATCCCAATGGGAAAAATTGCAGCTAAAAGAGGTTGTTTGCAATTAGCAAATGTAATATATATCTTTGTTCTTTTTAACTTAATAGATTTCTGTTAAACTTGTCAGTATTATTGGGAGGTTGGAAATCACACTGATGTCAAGAATAATTACACCAGAATGCTGGTCACTGGGTGCCTTTCAAACCTGGAGGGGAATTGACATTACAAAGCTGGCATTACCTTAAAATAAAATAAAAAGAAATTAATACATAAGCCACAGAAATGTATTAGGGGTATTTATAGTTACTGAACAGGCATATTTTGCTACAACAAAATCTGCAAGTTGTAAATTCTGTACTTGAGTAATGACTTTTTTAGCTTAGTTTCCTAAAAAAGTGAAGCTTATGTCATTGCATCGCCTGTCCTTGTCTCCCCTTCTAGCTTTTAAAACTGCACGTTTCTGCCAGGTTTGGCAGATGAATGGCAGTGTTAAGAGATATTCTTACAGGTTTTATGAGAACAGACAGCTGAGGACAACTCAGCCATTATCCATTATTTGGCAGTGGCTGGCCACTGTTCATACTAGCCAACAAAATGATATGGGGAGACTCCTAGCTAGCTGCAACATGTGTTGTCGCTTGTAGCGTTGCTTGGCCAAAAGAGGTAGGTGGGTGGAACCTGGGGGTGGGTATGGGGGACACAGGAGAGGGCTGCCAATACTATAAGTGATGTTTAGAGCACATCTGGGCAGGGAACAGCAGCTTGTTGGGGAAGGGGTGAAGGGAGGTTTTAGGAATGTTTGTCTGGGTGCTGTAAGAATGATGTGGGGAAAATCTGCTTTCTAATGTGGTAGGAATCACAGAAGGCAAAAGACTCAAATCTGTAGGAATTGAGGCTTCATGCAAATCCTCAGGCTTTTTTTTTTTTATAAGAAACTGAGTTGGATTCAAGCAATTATTTTATACTGTATAATAAACATTTCTTTTTAATGTTAATATTGTTTTCTTACAAAATACATTTCTAAGAAAAAAATCAACTTTGTGATTTCTTTATTTTCCTGTGTCCCTGTATTTCTTGTGCAGCTTTGATCATTTTGTTCAGATTTCAGCATGGTCAGATTTCAGATTTCCAGATTGCAGCTGGGTCATTTCTTTCAAAATTTCAAGAGCTACAGATTGCACTCAAAGAATCATATTTTCTTCTGTTATAGAGATGTCCAGTGGCAGGCTGGGAGAAAAATGTCTATGAGTCTGTTCGGGGGTTAAGTCGCCTTCTGGGGAGGTAGAGATGGGTGTTCGAATGATTTGAAAGTCGAGTTAGACTTAGCGCATAGTAGCTGACGTTAACAAATGCTCTGCATATGTATGGCATTATATGAAGGAGGGGGAGCACCAGCACTAAATGTCACCTGAATGTTCAGTGGCGAGCTACGAGTGTGTGCTAAAGTCACAGCACCTGTAGAGTGTGTTGAGCCCCTGTGAAGATGCTTGCTGGTTACCTATGCATCCTAAGGCACCAGAGGTTAGGAGAGGGCTTCTGAGGCTCAGCTTAGTAATACATCTGTGCTCATTAGGAGTGCTGTAGGCATTGGAATATCACAATGTGATATGGACCTTTAAATTTCCCTTGTGTGATGACTTTGGGGCCTAAATGATTTTTTTTTTGGTTTTTTTTTTCTTTTTTCCTTAGTGTCTTCTGGTTGCAAATTGTCCAGCTATGTGATGAACTAGGTGGGAAGGATGTAATAAAATAGTCCTCAGGGGGCTATATAGGCCACCCTGGGGGTTATAATTAGGAGCCACATTCTGGCTATTCTCTCTACAAAATAGAAAGCAAATAGGAGGTCCTATTCCACCTTTCTTGCCCTGGCCCTTGTCCCTTCCTACTCTTGCACATGTTTAAAAGGAAGCGGGGAGCTCCACGTAGGGCTGTTAGTAGGGTTGGATTTTGCTCTTTATATCAGAGCAGACACAAGTGGGAAAACTTCAGTGGTGTCATTTGAGGCAGCCTGGGCATGTATGCCAAGATGATAAAATAAAACCACCTGCTTGAGCACTGACCTTCCTAAAACTAAGTCCTCCAGCAGCGTCCGTTCCTTTCTGTCTGCTTCATTTATTTGATTGCTTCATTGGGACCCAATTAATGAAAAGAGTGGACTAATCAATTACTGGAGAGAGTTACCTTGAGAAGAAGGTAATGCTTTCTTGGCTAAGAAAGGTACATATGACTCTTATTTTATAACCTTCAAAAGGCAATTTTGGTTGGTGGATAGAGGATGATTATTTGCTGAAATTCGAAGTTACAAAAATTCTTACTTGGAAATAGTTTATTTGGAATTCAGTATATTTGCGTGCGTGTAAACATCTGTATATTCTTACTGTATTCTTGCTAAAAAAATAAATTTTCGTACATGGGGTTATGATTGCATATTTTGGCACCTGGGTACTCCCTCCCCCCCCACTCCCCGCCCTCCGCCTTCCCAAGCTTTTTCCAGCCAGTGAGTGTTTCTTTTTCTGTCTATCCCACTTCCTTTTCTCTGGCTCCTTCCAGCTGCCAGTGTCTCCTGCTCACCCCCCTCTCACTGACTTGCAGCTCTTTTTCCTGATGGACGCAACAGTCTTGGGTCAGATCTAGGTATACTTCCCCTTATCTGGCCCAAAATCAGGTGGCTTTGCTGTCTCTTTGGATGGAAAACAACAAGAATTATGTTTGTCAAAAAGATTTTTGAAGCACTAGTGCAAGGGCTGAGCTGGATGGGAATGAAGAAAAGTAGTTGGGGAATAAGGAACCAGCAGATCAGACACACAGAGCCGTGCATACTGCCCTTTGGTTTGATGTACCAGCTTCGAAGGGCTCCAAACAATTACAGCATGCTTATACTTTTGCTGTTACGAAATCAGTCTCCAGCAAAACTTCACAAACCTGACTGCAGCATTTTGCTGCGGTGATTTGAGAAAACTCCCATCTAAACCAGAAAGTGTTTTTATGTATACACAGGCAATTGCTTGTTCTTTCTCCCTCTCCGAATCGCTTTCTTGTCCAGTATTTCCTGGTTGTATTTGGGATCACAACCTGTGGACTTTGCCAACAGTTGGGTTTTTCTTTTAACTCTCTGGGGTCTGACCCTGTAGATCCCATAGCTTTGCCTATTTTTATCATTTGTGACAAGCTCCAAAGTGAAGCTTGGTCATGAAAAGCTGAGAAACCTGTGCCAGCCTGAGGCTGTTTAAATTTGATTTCACAAATTTCTAGGCAACTTTGGATGTTTCTTTTTCCTGCTTGTTGTAGCCTTAAGTCTGAATGTGCCGGGGTTTCTAGCTGTGTTTCCAAGGAAGTATTTGTGCTGGTGTGGAGGTGAGGGGCTGCGTTTCTTTGATTTACTGCTCTCTGTTCACAATCTATTTTATGAAGTTTAGGGAGGACATATTTTCCTGCCATTTGTTCAGCATTTGAGCCATGTGCTCTCTACCACCTGCCCTTTTGCGTGAGACACATTGCTTTTCCCCAGACAGCACATCACCAAGCTCCAATCAATTTATGTTTGGCTGTGACAGAAGACAAGCAGGAGCTCCAATTGCTTTCAGCTTCCTTGCATGCTGCAAGTCACAAAATGATAGATTAATTTTTCCAACCTTCTGGTTCTTGATTCATTCACTGCGTGAGAGAGCCCTGGTTGTTCTTTTAGCAGAAGATGCCAGAATCCTTTTTTGACTGCCGAGCTCAAATTGTAGGTGCTATCATGTCTTCATAACCATGATGTGGCCGCTGGCTCATCCTGTAGGTCCCAAATTCCCTCGGTCCCTAAGTCATGGTCCCTATCACATGTGAGTGAGGCTGCCTGGTAGGCAGTTTTGGGGACCCTGACTCCATAAGGGGAGGATTCACAAACAAATTTCTCCTCCCTCTGTCCCCTTCCCAGCAGGTCATGGATTTTGGAGCCCTGAAACATGACCACATGGAAGGTGACCCTTTGTGAAGTTCAGATACTCTCTTGTACACAATGTTTTTACCTCATGTCCCATCAGTTTGAAGAATTTTATCCTATATAT